AACCCAAAAACTAGCCTTAAACTTAAAGCCACAAGTAAAAACATGTGGAATTTACACACTGTGGCAAGAACACTATGACTGTAAATCATGAAAAATGAACAAAAACAATAAATAAAGGGCCAAGGCAGGGAGTGAATCTAGATACTTCGATGAAACAAGGGAGAATACTACTTTTTTTGTATCGGAAATAGAAATCGGAGCCGAAAAATCCCAGTTTTTAATTTTCCAATGTGTGTCTATTTATTATTAAATTAGTACTTTCGATATATATTTGAGTTCCGTTTTGGTCCTTATAATTAGGTAGACATATTGGCCTACATTTTAATCAATTTCTTTTTCATTTACAATCAGTCAGCTTTGAGAAAATCCTTGGTAAATATAAGGTAACTTTCATCATTAAAATTAAGTCGAAGGAAAAAATTTGTCACTAACAAATTTTTTTTGCATCTGGGGAATGTATTGATCTACAAGTATGCCAATTTTCACAGCGATAAGTGTCTTACAAGAGACACCATGTTTCTACGCATTCGCAGCAGGTCATGCAGTTCGCTCAACCTAATTTCGCCATGGGGTGGGCCACGCCCCCCTTTTAATGGCGGAAGTTGCCGATACTTAGGAAATATTAACTTATGACCACTATTTACATCAAAATATTTGATAACTTGTGTTTCAGAATGCATTTTGAAGACATTTAAACTGGAATGTTTTAATTTGAGCTTTAACAACCCGGTAGAATCCATATTATAAATGATCAGAATTTACCGTGTACAACACGTTGTCATTGGCAACCATTCACGGCCACTTGCATAACGGCGTACGATATAGCCGTTAGAGTTTCATTCATAAGAGTTTGCCGTGTGCAAAAACTACTATACTTACTATACCATTGGTCAGGGAAAGCTTTAATTAATTATTCATGTGCCAAAGTTGAAAGTTTAAACCAAGTCGACCCTAAACAGTATTTTAGTGATAAGGCGATGCGTTGCCTTATATAAATTATAAAGTATATAGTCATTGCGCATGACGCGATCAGCGGAATGAGGTCACAAGATGTGGAGGTTTCGTCCATAGTAAAAAAATACAAAACGAACTCACACTTTAAATTTAAAAATTCGTAGCTCAAAAAGTACTTAAGCTAAAAAGTTGATTCTGGTTTCATTTTTTTATTTGAAATTTGCTCTGTTATTAAAAAAATTATTTCAATTTTTTTAAAGTTTTGTATTCAAGTGAGACAAGTGCCTAGTGAATCCAAAAAAAAACAAAAAAAAAAAAACAAATGACGTCAGGGGCCTATCTCTCCAAATTAGCCCAAAATGTTGGAAAAACAATTAATGGTTAGGTTTAGGCATATATTTAGGACATAAATTCGCAGGTCGCCGCAACCAAGATGGCGGCCGCGGTACTATCTCTCCAAATTTACCCAATTAATAATATAAATTTTAATACTGAAACATAGGCCTAAATATTAGTCTAATGTTATAGTAACCATGAAGTGTTTTAATGTAGTTCCATCGGGTAAATATGAAGTTTTAAATTCATTTCACTGACAATAATAAATCACGCTATCTTACCAGATTCAAAAGGGAAACTCATCCTCCTCACTGACAACTGACAACAATTAAAAGTTCAACACAGGAAAAAGAACGCGCGCATGGCGCGTGGTTAAAAGTGCTATTTTTTGATTGGTAGAAAACAAAGTAGTCGTGGTTATATGTTGTTCATTTCTAAAATATCGCAATTTAACAAGACATTTTAACATAATTTCTGGGGAGGGAAGACCTTTCCCCAACCTTTCCCCCCAATTTCATTGTTAATAAAAAGAAAGAAAATAATAGCAGGGGAGGAGATACCCCCTGAATATTTGATAAGATGTGTTGACATCGGCAACGAGATCCAAATTTCACGTGGATAGGTTGCAAGGACGTGCGTCCGCCGCCCAGCCACGATCTAAAACAGTGTTTCCCAACTTTTTTGTGCCATGCCCCACCTAAGCCTTTCTAAAATTCTTATGCCCCCATGTATCATATACATAATTTTTAATATTCAAAAATAAGGTTGTTGGCTAAGAAACTGAAATGATTTGTACTACACTTTAATGAACGCATATTTTAGTCATAGTCAACGGTTGGTTTTCAAAATCTAAGACAGCCAATTTTCCCTTGCCCCCTAAACAATCGAATTCCCCCCCCCTTTTTTTGTGTGACGTGGCACTACGTTGGGGAAACAGGGATCTAAAACGTACTTAATATTAAAAGGATTTATAAATTTAGTGGTCGGAAAGATCCATCATGTCAACTTTTAAATTTAGGAAAGTGATAGCGGAAAATCCACACCTTCCGAATTCTTACGGTCAAAGGGAAGGTATCGTGTTTTTTTTTAATTCTTAAGGTAGAAACAGTTACTCCCCATTTGATTTGTCTAATTTTTTAGTTAAATTTTTCTATGCTAGGTTATTTCCCTTAGACCGTAAAAAAATTAATTTGCTTCAAATTGTTTACTTTGGGTAATCCCTCTTTGACCATTGTTTTAAAAATTATCCAAAATTTGAAGGAAAAATTTTTTTAAAGGTACCACGCTTAAAATCAAAATGAATTTAACGGGCGCAAGTCAATAACTTAGTATCTTAGTTTAATTAATCTCTTTAAAAATTGCATGTTAAATCGGGAAAATTTATGGAAATTATATTTCAATTTTTATTCTACAAGAAATGATATTTTGTATTTAATAAATGGATAGTTTAAACTTTATATAACAGTACACATTGGAATTATAATTTTTGTTTCGTTTAATCTTCTTCTTATAAAATAACACTAATGTCTAATGTAAATGTATGAAATAAGCAAAATGAGGTATGTGGAAGCTTGAATAAGATAGCAGGACAAAAAACAAGGACGTTTCGGCATCCGGCTACACCAATGGATCTTTGCTTCAACTCGTTCACTGACCCTCACTTTCCTGTCTATCTCTCTGAACTGTTGCTTCCTTACATCCCCACAAGACAACTACGTTCTTCCATTGACAGTAGAACCCTCTCAATCCCAAGAACTAAAACTAAGACCATCGGTGAACGCTCCTTCTGCTTCCATGGGCCCACGTTCTGGAACCAGCTCCCCTTCCATATACGTCATAGTGAAACCTCGTCCATTTTCAAAAAGTCCCTTAAAACTCATCTGTTTAGGTCCGCCTATGACCTGTGATGCACCCTCCTTGCCCTACCTAATTTTCTGTTTCGGTTTAATCCTGAAGTGTCAAAGTGTCCTCTTTTTATAGCCATTTTCATTGTTTCTATAGAATAGTAGTTACTATCCTAGTGTCTCATTTGTATTTACTTAGTTTACATGTTTTAATAATTGTAAAGCGCTTAGAGCTTTATGATAAGCGCTATATAAAAATGCCTAAATAAATAAATAAATACTGTGTTCTGTTTTTTTTTTGGTTATATTTTCATTTCCACTGTTGGCTGAGGAAGGCTTTATACCGAAACGTCCTTGTTTTTTGTCCTGTTATCTTATTCTAGCTTCCACATACCTCGTTTTGCTTATTTCATACATTTACTAAGCTTGAAAGCAGTCCTTTCATTTATATTTTCTATGTCTAATGTAAAAAAGTTATTAAATCTTTATGGCCATTCATGAAAGCACTTGTAAAAAAAAAAGTGGTGTGAAATTTCCTCATTTGTTCAATGATAGGGTATACTAATATTATTAGTTGCTCAAATGTAATTATTAGTAATATTCCAAAAGTAAATGTCAAGGTTTATCTCCTTATCCATGATCTAAAACAAGATGTCAATTTTCACAACTGGACTGGGCAGCAGGAATGAGCGTACTGCATCGGAAAACTTTACATAAATAAATGTAATTCTCCTCCATTACACATCCACAATATACCTCCATTACACATCCGCAATATACCAACCATCCAAGCCTTCACAAATGTAATCAAGACACATCTCTTTAAACTCTACTCATACTCACCCCCTCTGACCGATAAACAATGCTCGATGCTGCTGGATGCCGTCAATGGCTAGACAGGGGTAGAGAGTACTTGGGTGGGCGATTTCAAGATTTTTAAAAAGGTCTTTGTTAAATGAATAATGTTATGTAAATGCTTTTAATGTCTATTTCTTTTTTCAAATGTTTAAGTGACTCATGGTGAGCCTAGCCCTAGGCTGGGGTACCACGCAATATAATACTAACAATAATAGTATAAAAGTAGCTTTAATTTAAAGCTTGTGAATAATTAACAATCCAATTGTTTCTTTTCATTTGTTTCTGTTTTTCAAATTGATTTTTGGGGCTATTAGCTGAGGACATTAAGTTTTGAGGCTTTTAGATGAAGATGAGAGACAATTGAAATCATGAGATGTGGCTTTGCGTTTATTATTAGATTTATTTATTTATAATTTCATTTTTTTAAAAATCCAGTTAGAAAATAATTATAATTACTTACAATTTAATGTTGTTGTTGCTATTATTTTTTTTTAAAAATTAAGATTAAAATATGCTTCTTTTTTTAAAATCACAGGCATAACTATAAAGTTGTTCACCACAGTTGTAAGTGTCATTCACCACAGTTGTAAGTGTCATTCACCACAGTTGTAAGTGTCATTCACCACAGTTGTAAGTGTCATTCACCACAGTTGTAAGTGTCATTCACCACAGTTGTAAGTGTCATTCACCACAGTTGTAAGTGTCATTCACCACAGTTGTAAGTGTCATTCACCACAGTTGTAAGTGTCATTCACCACAGTTGTAAGTGTCATTCACCACAGTTGTAAGTGTCATTCACCACAGTTGTAAGTGTCATTCACCACAGTTGTAAGTGTCATTCACCACAGTTGTAAGTGTCATTCACCACAGTTGTAAGTGTCATTCACCACAGTTGTAAGTGTCATTCACCACAGTTGTGTCATTCACCACAGCTGTGTCATTCACCACAGTTGTAAGTGTCATTCACCACAGTTGTAAGTGTCATTCACCACAGTTGTGTCATTCACCACAGCTGTGTCATTCACCACAGTTGTAAGTGTCATTCACCACAGCTGTGTCATTCACCACAGCTGTGTCATTCACCACAGTTGTAAGTGTCATTCACCACAGCTGTGTCATTCACCACAGTTGTGTCATTCACCACAGTTGTAAGTGTCATTCACCACAGCTGTGTCATTCACCACAAATGTAAATGTCATTCACCAGTTGTAAATGTCATTCACCACAGTTTTAAATGTCATAACCACAATTGTAAATGTCATTCACCACAATTGTAGGTCATTCACCACAATTGTAATTGTCATTCACCACAATTGTAAATGTCATTCACCACAATTGTAAATGTCATTCACCATAATTGTAAAAGTCATTCACCACAATTGTAAATGTCATTCACCACAATTGTAAATGTCATTCACCACAGTTGCAGAATCATGTCCCTCTGGAGTTTTAAAGAAATCTTTTGGTGCATATCATCACAGATGATGGTGTCTGGAGAAACTGGTGAAGGGTGTTTCGTACTGCGGACCAAAATAGTCAGATGATGGTGTCTGGTGACTCTGGTGACTCTGGTGAAGGGTGTTTCGTACTGCGGGCCAAAGTAGTCAGATGATGGTGTCTGGGGAAACTGGTGAAGGGTGTTTCATACTGCGGGCCAAAGTAGTCAGATGATGGTGTCTGGTGACTCTGGTGAAGGGTGTTTCATACTGCGGGCCAAAGGAGTCAGATGATGGTATCTGGTGAAGGGTATTTCGCACTGCGGGTCGAAGGTGTTTCATTCTCTGGTCTTGAAGACGAGCACGGCCAACGTGTCGACAAACATGAACAGGAAGTGACTGCCCTCGTGGGTCACCGTGCTGCCGAAATCTGCGCCGACCACGCAATGCCAGTTGTACTTGAACTTTTTGTCAAAATCCTCCTTGACGCCCTTGGCTATCAACTGATGAAAACACCAAGGAAGAATGATTTTAAATCTATGTCAAACTTAGGGGCCCATCCATAAATGACAGCAATTTTCATCAATTTTCGGAAGAAAAAAAAACCTAATTATTCCCCCCCCCCCCAATAGTCACAGAACTTAGACATCCTTATAATACATCGTCAGCAATGGGGCCAACCATAAATGACAGCAATTTTCAACAAATTTCGGAAGAAAAAAAAACCTAATTATTCCCCCCCCCCCCCAATAGTCACAGAACTTAGACATCCTTATAATACATCGTCAGCAATTCTTGACCTCCCCCGCCCACAATTTAAAAAAATTAATTTAAAAAACAACATTAAATGTGATGTCATTTTCTGGATGTCACTTAACTTTTTTCTTTTTAATTAATAAAATAATTAACATATACAAGGATTTAGTGAATAAGTCTATGTAGGTTTAAGAATATTGAGTGGATAGTATTATTTAAATCTAGGCCACAAAAATTTAATGAAAAATTAAACCGACTCTCCAAATAATGTAACTATGTAGTTTATATCTGTCATGTAACGAGACTTTGTGAAGTCCCATTAACGTAACTATGTTTACCTGTGATATAACAAGTTGGCTAAATTTAAAAAACTCCACACCATCAGGTCCAGGAGTTGGCACAACTCAAACAACTCCACTCCATCTGATCCAGGAGTTGGCACAACTCAAACAACTCCACTCCATCAGGTCCAGGAGTTGGCACAACTCAAACAACTCCACTCCATCAGGTCCAGGAGTTGGCACAACTCAAACAACTCCACTCCATCTGGTCCAGGAGTTGGCACAAATCAAACAACTCCACTCCATCTGGTCCAGGAGTTGGCACAACTCAAACAACTCCACTCCATTTGGTCCAGGAGTTGGCAACTTTATTTTCAATGCAAAGAGCCATTTGTATAACTATAATGGCTTTTCTATCTGCTATAAATATTCTGAGAACCACATTATAAATGAGTAGGGGTGGCCCTACGGTTGCTGGTGCCCTGGGCAAGCTTAACTCGGAACACTTCGTTTTTTTTATCCAACAATCAAGTAAAGTCATATTTTTAAAAAAAACTTCAATTCCATAGTGTCATTTTTAAAAATGCAGGTTTTCTATTTTTTAAAGTGAATGAAAGTAATGACATAAAGAGAAGTAATGACACGAAGAGAAGTAATGACACGAAGAGAAGTAAGAACACAAAGAGAAGTAAGGACATGAAGAGAAGTAAGGACATGAAGAGAAGTAATGACATGAAGAGAAGTAATGACACGAAGAGAAGTAATGACACGAAGAGAAGTAATGACACGAAGAGAAGTAATGACATGAAGAGAAGTAATGACACGAAGAGAAGTAAGGAAATGAAGAGAAGTAAGGACACAAAGAGAAGTAATGACATGAAGAGAAGTAATGACATGAAGAGAAGTAAGGACACAAAGAGAAGTAATGAAACGAAGAGAAGTAATGACACAAAGAGCTTTTTTGAATCCCAGTAATGTGGACCAATATTTATCCAAAATCCTATATTATGTAGGCTCCTTATTTTATATTCCACTGCGATTGTCGAGTATGGGAGTTCCATATTATTGTTGCGATTGAATATTATTATTTATTATGTTTCATTAGCACGTGTGAGTTTTTGAGAGGTTTAATAGTTAGTGAAGGCTCTTCCCTTGCTTGACTGTGTGAAGGCTCTTCCCTTGCTTGACTGTGTGAAGGCTCTTCCCTTGCTTGACTGTGTGACCTATTTATATGCTGATTGTGACCTATTGTCTAGAGTCTAGACTCTAGACTGTGACATAAGTTTTAGTCATGCAGCAGTCCCAATGCCTATGGAACTTTGTAGAAGTAGGATGTTTTTTATTTATGTCTGATAGCGAGCTGCGCTATATGATTATATGCATTATGTTAATAATGAGATATTTAAGTTACATTAATTATGTTAAAGGACCTGAGTTTATTCAATATTAGTATTACATATTTCAACGTGTGAAAGAACTTAACGAATTAACCAATCCAGTAGAACATAGGAGTTGACACCGATGCCATTGAATTGGCTGATCAACTGCCAATACGGTACATTGTATTTTTTACTGCCATCATGAAAAACTGTTGAAATGCCAATAATAAATAACTGTTGAAATGCAAATAAGAAATAACTGTTGAAAAGCCAATAATAAATAACTGTTGAAATGCAAATAATAAATAACTGTTGAAATGCCAAAAATAAATAACTTTTGAAATGCAGATGCTGTACAATTGTTTGCATGCCACTACTGTCCAGTTGTTCAACTGGCAATATTGTATGTATAATTGTTTGTTTTGCATTAAAAAGTTCAATCAATTGTTAAAAACTAATTTGAACATATGGTGTTCATTGTCCATACCTGTGGTTCTTTGTAGTACCTGACATTGCTGGAGATAATTCTCACTGACTGATCTCTCATTGCGTCCGTCATATCGGTTGCCTTGACCATATACTCATTAATTTTATAATTCTTTTCTCTTTTTTCTTGTTCTGATTCTTCTGCCATTGGAGATACTTAGGGGTACTTCTCAGGTTGAGTTTGAGAACAATTGCAGCCGTAGAAGCAAATAACTTATTTGAGAAAATGTTGTTCCTGTTGTTTGATAGAGGGGTACATGTATTAAAATTTAACTGACTCACTAACCATAGGAAATATTATTGTTTTATGACAGAGTGGTTCATGCATTAAAATAGCTCACAACAAGAAAAAGCATTCTTGTTTTATAGAGTGATTCATGTGTTAAAATAGCTCACTATAGGAAATATTATTGTTGTATGATTGAGTATTCATGTATTAACATTTAACTGGCTCATTAAACATAGGAAATATTGTTGTATGATAGAGGTGTTCATGTATGAACATTGAACTGTCTCACTAACCATAGGAAATATTGTTGTATGATAGAGGTGTTCATGTATGAACATTGAACTGTCTCACTAACCATAGGAAATATTGTTGTATGATAGAGGTGTTCATGTATGAACATTGAACTGGCTCACTATAGATAATGTTGTTAATGTTGCATGACAGAGTGCTGTGGTCGCATCCAAAATTTCCAGTGTCCATTCTCTAAATTAAAGGCATTAGTATCACATGGACAGAAATGGGGGTTTGACATTGAATTAAATTATTTTTGGATAATTCAACAACCAGTAGGCCTATACTTGTTTTCAGTCCTTTGTTACATAATTTTCATTTCGCGAGCTAAATCTTAAAACAGATTAAATTTTTAAAACCATACAAGGGTACATAACAATTTGAAGGTTAAGTAAAAAAAATATTTTTATATCAGATTGACAGCAACATTAAGATACCGGATCTTAGGGTTTTCCCAAAGTGTCTTAATAAAAGGAGATGTACACAACACTGTCATCTGTGTTTATTTAGTATAAACCTCAATGTGAGATTGTATTTGAAATAAAAGGCATTCTGTTATAAATATAGTTAAAATTAAAATTTTAAAATGCTTTTTATCTCGTTATTATCAAACCATTGTTATAGTGTCACTTTAAGTTATGAGGATCGTATGGTCTAATGATTAAATCCAAATAAATTATAATGGCTTAAACGGCCTGAAAATCACCAGCAGTAACCTTTTTGGGGGGATTTTAACCACTTTACAAAACTGATGGTGTTTTTTTAATTTTTTTTTTTTTTAATTATAATTAAATTGATTTTTAACTTAGTAATTTAACACACCACACACAAATTAAGCTTATTAAATTAAACATTTGATAAATTGTAATTTTTTTCAGTCCAAAAAATTTTAAAAAATAAATTAATACAATTATTACAGAAAAAAAGGAACTTAATGTAAAAAAATAGTTAAAATAGGAAAATGCTTATCAAGCAATATTTTTCAATTTTTGGGAAAACTATGTGGTTAATATAAAATAAATATGTGAACTATTTATTTTACCACTTTGTTTTTTTTACATTTCAAGGGTGATTGAAATTTGTACTTTTAGTTGTTTTTTTAAAGTGGGGGATGGGGGTGGGGGGGGGTTACATTTCATATCAGTATCTCCAAACCCAATTATGTTACAGATTTAAATTTGGTTTATATTTTATGTAAATATACATAACCATATTCTTTAAACATATGGAAATAAGCTACGAACTATTAGAATATATTGTTCAAATTCAGGTTAAGCAAAATGTGCCTGATGGAATTATTAGGAGAATTGCTTGATAAAACTGAATAAATTAGGCAGCAGAAAATAGGTTGCAGAGGTGGTGGGTGAATATTATGATGAGTATATAAATCTCTCAAAGTTCAAATAGGTTACACTCTTTAAATTGGTATAGGCCTATAGTAAATAGATAGTTTTAAAACTAATAAAATAATGTATTTAACTGCCTACCCCAAACACATTTCAGTGGGAGGAAAGAGGATGTGTTCATTTTTATATGAAAAACCGTAATTTAAATCCAATTAGATTTTCTTTCAAAATATATTTTACAGTAATGTCTGAAAATGCAGTTAAAAGCACATTTACATGAGCATACCCATACCTCCAAACTCAAACTCAATGAATCATGAAGTTGGATAGTGATCTGATAGGGGAAATTATTGAATACCATTTTATTTGAAATTAAGGACATTGTCATTTATCCAAATCATCAAATCATGTACCCGGTACAGTTCAATGGCCAGGATAAGGGGCTGACACATATTTCAGAGGCATTGTTCTATTAAAGTATTATAAATTATAAATATTTCCTGAAAAAAAGTTTAAAACGTGAAAGACTAGAGTGGGGACATTTTTATGTGATTAGTGGATAAAAATATCTAAAATATGTGGCCTAATGCCTAGTATTAGTGAGACTTTTTAAATATAAATTAATATAGTATATAAGTATAGGGGCCATCCATAAATGACGTCACGCAAATTTTGCCGATTTTTTACCCCCCTCCCCCCATCGTCACAAATCATCACAAAAAGTTAGACCCCCCTCAAATATAACGTCACAAATCTCTGCACCCCCCCCCCTTTTAAAAGTCCCTGTGTCCACTACTGTCCTTTTCAAACCCTTATGAAATTCACCTCCCATGGATATCAAATTACTGCACCCATGTCATAAACATTTCACTAGATCAGTGGTTCCTTAACAGGGGTAAAAGTACCTCTATAAATTAATATAGTATATAAGTATAGGGGCCATCCATAAATGACGTCACGCAAATTTTGCCGATTTTTTACCCCCCCCCCCCCATCGTCACAAATCATCACAAAAAGTTAGACCCCCCTCAAATATAACGTCACAAATCTCTGCACCCCCCCCCCTTTTAAAAGTCCCTGTGTCCACTACTGTCCTTTTCAAACCCTTAAGAAATTCACCTCCCATGGATATCAAATTACTGCACCCATGTCATAAACATTTCACTAGATCAGTGGTTCCTTAACAGGGGTAAAAGTACCTCCCCAGCCTTGAGGTGCGGGAGACCAAAAAATTGTATTCAGTGGCGTAGCTAGGGGGTTGCGGACCACACCGGCTGACACCATCTAAGGCAAACTCAAGGGGTGACACCAAATTGAAAGATAGCATAATTACAGAGCACACACTGATCGGTCTAACCGAAATTTGTAAAAGAATAACAGATGACACGTACATTTCCACCCATGTAACCAATCAAAATGCGTGTTTATTTCGTTAATATTAAAATTTCAAGGTTGATGCGTTAGCAATTAGGTTACCTTATTATTAGGTCAGAAACACACCATTTGAACATATTTCATAGCCGAATGAAGTGTTTGGCAATTTTTGTAAGCGGCAGGAAGCTATTTTTATCTAAATTCTGAGAAATAAAATTATCCTATGATAACAATGGGCGATTCTAAGAACGTTGCAGTTCTTAAATACATTTACCTCTTGACTTTCAATTAATTTTTTGTTTTTCTTGTATTTCTTATACTTTGGACTAAGTTTAACAAGAAGAAATACATCGTAAAAAAAAAAAAGGGGGGGGGGGTTGTTGACACCATGAGCTTACCGGACCGGGTGATATCAACCCTAGATACGCCACTGATTCTATTTGCTGCAATTGCTAGTTGTTGTTGCTTTTAAAAAAAAAAATTTTTAAATATGTATTTTGATTAGCAGCAGTCAATGGTAAATTTCATTGGTGCATTGTGTGTATTGGTAATTTTTTCCCCTGTTTATAAAAAGTTAATTAAAGAAATAAAACTACGATAACTAAATTATTTAATTATTTAAAATTTTATTGTTACAATGTAGGCCTAATGTATACGGTTGGGGAAGGAATTTGTAAATTGGAGTGGGCCTGCAACGCTGCAAAAAAAGATTAAGAATCCCTGCTCTAGAGCTTTTACTAAGATACCCCCCTCCTCCCTGCCCGTGGTCAACCTTTTTTTCTGCTCCATCCCACTTCTTCTGTCCAGGTTTAGCCATAAATTCTCACGACTGTCATTGTAACTACATTCCGATTCTCCCACTACTGGGCATCCTGTAACTTGATCAGAGGCCATTCTTCAGACCTCGCGCTGATTCTCTCAGTGACAGTAGTTTTAAAATGAAATATTTAGGCTATAATTGTTTTTTTGTTTTTTAATAATGTAAAAAACCTCTGTAATTCAGTGTTATGAAGTGAAATTCTTTACTACAAGTTCTGCTTTTCATGTGATGTCACATAGCTTGAGGGCCCCCCCCCCCTCCCTCGTCACACATCGTCACAAAAATCTGACCCACACCCCCCCCTTTTTTTTTTTACTGTGACGTCATTTATGGATGCCCCCATATATATGTAGTATTTAAAAATTTAAGGACAGTGTATAGTGACAATAGTCTATCTATAGTGTATAGTGTTAGGCTACACGCATACATTATTTTTTAAAGAACAGAACACTTACTTCACTTACTATTAGACTATTTACTATTGACTATTACTACTGAGAATACTGTTTTAATTTTAAATTATTTTGTTCATTATCGACATTGTTGATGAATTAGCCGAGCCGAATACTTAAATTAAGCACATTCACATGCTTATGAAGTTATGATCCNATTTTAAAATGTGTATTCTTATTTTCTGTTTAAAGGGGGGGGGGGGAATATTGAATATTAATATTGGATACTAATTACACATTTTTTATTTACTGCACATTTAGCTCTGTAATTAACAAATAAATTAAAATTAAACGAAATACAAAAATATTATAGAAAATTTAAGTTATTGTTTCCGTCAGACCGTTTTGAAATGAAAGAATTCGAATTGTGTTGAAAAAAATCCAAACAGAAACGCATGAATTGATTCATTAAAAAAAAAGGATATACTAATGTTATTATTATTTTTTTTTTCGTAAAGCCAAATCAAAAGGCGACATACGAAAAACTTTTTACTAAATATACGGGAAATAGAAATGTAAAACTTAAAAAGATAGATAATAAAATATACAGTTCAGTATACAGTATTACAAGCTCGACACAAAGTTATTGCTGGCTTTTAGTAAGTTGGTTGGGGGGGGGGGGGATAATAATATAGTAATCAACGGCTTACAAACCTTTGGATTACGACCCTTCTTTTTTTTTTTTGCGATGGGGGTGCGGGGGGGGGGAGAGAGAGAGAGTGTGGTGTCCTCCCACTGGCCATTTTAAGGTTAAAATCCATTTTTTTTTTTAAAAAATGGAAATCAGTATCGTTTCACCGAATATTCCATTGCGTAAAGAAGCAGGACCGGGAAGGCAAATGGTGTGCCAGGGGTTAAGTCTGAATTTAAGGACCCTCTTCCATAAAAACCCACATACTTTGCATGATAAATAACGATTTTGGCGCCCTGTGCGGATTGCACCCGGGGTGGTTGCTTTTGCTTGCAAGTGTAAAAATATTAGTTCATGAACATGGCACTGATTCTCCTTTGTTTGCAAAATGACATTTTTTATCCAGTGGAGTAGCTAGAGTTCATGACGCCCGGCGTGGTCCTTCCTTTTGCCGCCCCTAATTTAAGTTTAAAAAAACACATTCCATACAGAATGCGCACTTGAACTAAGCTTTAATTTAATGACCAACCCGCGTTTAAACCGCAGATTTATTTCGCCTATTAAATTATTTCAGAAGAAACAAAATAAAATATTATGTACCAAACGCGCTTAAGATTTTTTTAAAAATCTCATTCAGCGCAGTTATCGGGAATTTTATTTGGTAAAATCAGTGTCCTCATATTTCCCTCGTCTTCCCCTTGATAAACCAGGAAAAACGGATTTTGAGGGGTTGGGGTGGGATTGAAAACTGTGAGAGAATGTGTTGTCATCGGAAACGAGTCTATATGCCAAGTTTCAGCTCGATAGGTTAACGGGAAGTGGGCCAATTAGCCGTCCGAAGATTTTGCCACACACCCAGCCAGAAACACAAGAACAAAAGGGAAGTTAATATCAAGGATTTTCAAAAGGGTACCGAAATGGCCGCCCCAAAATTACCTTAGTAGTACCTAAACTTCCACCCCCCTCCTCAGTAGGCTATGTAGGGTTACTGCCACCCTGGACAGACCTAGAATTTTGACGCTCCCTTCCAAGAAAAATTTATCCAGTTTTCCAACGATGCCTCCCCTCGAAATGAAGACAAAAGTACCGCCCGTGGCGGGCCGCCCCCCCCCCTCTTTTCATGCGTCACTGCACATCCTCCTCTTCTTACGCCTGTCCATGTGATGAGTTATCCGTTGGTTGGGTTGTCAGATGGTTGTCATATTTTGGTTGTCACCAGTTGGCGGCTGTCTACTTGACTTGGCTGTTGACTTTTTTTTAATATGCAATTATTTGACTTATTTAGAATGTCAACATCGTGCTTAGCAACATGGCATTTAGAATGTCAACATCGTTCTAAGCAACATGGCATTTAGAATGTCAACTTCGTACTTAGCAACATGGCATTTAAACATTTCTATAAACAATATTTATATCATTTTTATTTATCAGCAACAATTTTTAATGAAAAATAAATATTTTTCCACTAATGTGATTAATTCTTGTTTGATAATTTTTTTCACACCGTGTGGCCCATCGTCAATTGAAAATATATCATCATTTAAAGGGGGAGAGAATTTGGGCTGTTTTGAGAGTTACAATGAAATACTCCCCTCTTTGATCGCAAATCTCCCTAACAAAGCAGTAACCGCGTTTGCAACTAGACTAACCGGAGAAACACAACGGTTTTACCTTTGACTTGTATTGATCAAGTGTTCTCAAACCTTTTTAAATGACATTTGGCTACCCAGGGCCGGCGCCAGAGTATTTGGCACCCTAAGCGAACCTGTCGCACTGCGTCCCCCCACGCCCACTAATTATTTAATTAATAAAAATTTGCCGCCCTAGGCGGCCGCCTAGTTCGCCTAATGGTTAAACCGGACCTGTGGCTATCTATCCCCCCCCCCCCTCACACACGCACACGAACAGACACTATTTTATATTAAGTGAATTGCTTTTAAAAGACGACAATTAATTCATTTGTTTCAATCCGGTTATCCGCTAAGCTAAACTAAGCCCAAGAAGGTAGAAGGAAAGTCTTGGGCAGATATGATTATCAGCTACTGAAACTAACACAAGTCAAGTAGGTCCTATTCTTTGCAAAAAAAAAATGTGTATACTACTCAATATATAAATGCACAAGTACATCATTAATTCGCTATTTGTATTTGTAAGTCTATAATGAAGCTAAAGTTGGCAACAAGAGTGAATTTAACTTAAATACAAATGTTAACTTAGAGGGGGAGTCATGGCGTTGGGGAGGATTCTGCAGGGCGGTAAAAGCACCATGGGATATGGCATGACCCCCAGCACCATGGGGTATAGCATGGCCCCCAGCACCATGGGATATGGCATGACTACCAGCACCATGAGGTATGGCATGACCCCAGCACCATGGGATATGGCATGACCCCAAGCACCATGGGATAGGACATGACCCACAGCAC